TAACGGATGCGAGTCTTCCTTTTGGAGACGGAGCGAGGTTCGTTGATGTTGCTGTTCTGTTCTATTCCGGATGTCAGTCCTGTATTCTCGGAATCTCGGGGATCGGAGACCGTTATCAGAGCTCCGCACACTCCTCTAGTGTCTTCTACGTCCAACAGAATCAATCAAACATGACAGATTGTCGCAATCTCTGGGCCAAATTACGTCGACGGTTCTCTTGTATCGCGCTGGAGATACAGGAGAAACACTACTAGTATGGAATGGAGTGTGGCTTATCTGACATTTCTGTTCTTCAAAAAAAAACAGGATCTAGAGGCGATGAGGGAAAGTGCACTGCGGTATGGTGAACAAGAATAACCATCTTACCCCTGGACCGATAGTCGATGGCATATCCATGTGAAGGCTCCTCACATCTCGTAAAGTGCCCACCACGCCCGGTTTTCAAGGATGGGTAAGTTAATGAAGATTTCCACATTCGACTAGCTGATAATGAAATGTGTTCATTAGCCTGACGGTGGGCAGCACGAAGACGTGCGAGGAGCAGTCAGCCAACGTCCCGCACAGCTATATTTATAGAAGTTTTCGTGTCTTCGTCGTGTTGGTTGATTATTCGGTTGCTTGTTGATCATTCTAAAATATCTCACAGGGTTTCTTCTTCTTCTGTGGATTGGAAGCATCGTACGGTTTATTCTATGGAGGGCCGTCAAGAAGCTTCGTCCTTCGAGTACGGTGGCTCTGTCTATGCTGGGGGAACGGAAATTCTGGTGCTCCTGCAACTTTCTCTTTATAACCATCTCTCTGACCTGATGTGGATCGTACCTCAGTGGCGCAACATTCAACTTTACCTGCAAATCCTTTATTAAGAAGTCCTATCATTTCTCTCACACTCCGGGCCTACGGATGTAGTCATCACGTATGACCCTTCTATCGACCCACGGGTGGAATATATAGCGCTTGATGGGAATCTATGATCGGGCGAGCGAAATGTCGCATTCCATCCACTCCCAGTCTGAGCGTCAGACAACGTACTCCTCAGACTATTCGACCAAGGGGGTTGATATTTTGCCTAATCTGGTTGACGCTCCTTACACGCACCACTTTATCGACGGTATGGAGGAGCCAGGCCCGAGCGAAGTGGCGAGGTCATTGTATACGTCCCACTTTATGGACCGGACGGAGACAATGAGGGAGTCGCGGAGTATGTATCTGAAGGTCGTAGCGGTGGGGGTTGTGGCGATGATTATTGTCATGTTTTCTGTCTTTTCGATATACTGGGGAGCGCTATGGAAGATTCCGGAGCGTAGTTTGGATGGATGGGTTGTGGTGAGTATCGATACTCGAGCACACGCTGTTCTTCTATATTGACTGGCGTTGATAGGATTTCGATGACTCGACAGTGGGGAACGCTGTTGTTCAGGCCATGTTATCATCAACATCATCCTCTGGCATAGTGAGTTGGACGAATAAATCAGCGAGCGAGTTTCCTGGTGGGGTGGACGATGTTGCGGATGCGGTGCTGGATCAGAGAACGTGGGTAGCTGTTGTCGGTACGTGGTATTGATCATGTCTTATCAGACTATTGATTAATTTTTCTCGTCTCATAGTTCATCCCAACACAACGAGGCTGCTCCAGTCTGCAGTTCTCTCTATGAACTCGTCATACGACGGTTCGAATGCGCTCACAGCGTATGCCATTGAAGCACGCAATGAGAATGCCTTGTGAGAACTCTTGTCTTCCTTCGTAGAATTCAACCTAATTCACTTCTAGTCGCATTTTGATTCGACCTGTGGTAGAAGGAACGCTCAATGCAGTGTCCCTTGGAATAGCCAAATCCTTCGTGAAACAGGTCGGCTCGTCCTATCCGCAAATAATAGCGAACCTTTCTACCGCTGCCCCTCAAATATTGGCGCAACCCGTAGGGTATACTCTGAACAACCTCCGACCCTTCGACGTTCCCGTGTAGGTTTCCGCTTGAGTTTTGCTACTATTAACTCTAACGTCCACTGTAGTGCTAGCGCTATGACATATGTCGGTCTTATCTACGTTCTGGTCTTAGCTTTCTTTATTGTCGTACGTTCCCAGTGCTCTACATTGGCGGCGTCGTCTGAATCTATTTCAAGAATTTTTCCGCCGCAGCTCGTGAGATGTCAGGACTAGAGACATCATTAACGACATGGTCTCTCATTTTCCTTCGATTGGCCTCGAGCTTTGTCTCGTATTTCATGCTCGCCTTTTTCTACTCCTTGCTATGTTTGGCCTTCCAAGTGGACTTTTCAAGGACGTGAGTTGGTCCTACTCCTGTAATCATCACCGCTACCAACTCTGATTGATAAAACAGACTCGGACGTTCGGGCTTTGTCGTGTTCTGGATGCTGAACTACGTTGGAATGTTGGCCGTAGGGTTATCTTTGGAAGCAATGCTCACCCTGCTCACGGCGAGATTCGTCGGATTCTTCGTGATATTTTGGATTATATGTACGTTTGTTTATCTTTTGAAAGGTGGGGTGATGTACCTGATTGTGCTGCTCCAGCGAATGTATCCGTGTGCTTCATGCCCCTGGAAGTACTTCCAGGCATATTCCGGTATGGCCATGCCTTCCCCTTCTATAACGTGTCGGGCGCAGTGCGGACAATCATATTCGGGACGAAGAACCAACGTGAGTGGCCGTCACGTCCACATGTGTTTCCACTCGGGCTAAACTGGGAGATATTTGTTTAGTGGGGTTGCAATTTGGTATCCTCCTCGCTTGGATGGGTGTGTCTTTGATAACACTCCCTCTGTTCCAATGGCTATTCCGACGCAGTGCCGTGGCGAAAGCAAAGGCTGCGACTCACCGGACTGGAGAGAAGGACTCTTAACATCTCTTCTTGATCATTCTTTAGTATTTCTCTATGACCTTTACCGGGTCGTTATCAGGACGCAATGCAGAAAGCGTAGAATACTATATTCTTAGGATATCATCTTACTTATCACAGACCAGCAATACATGGTGGTCGCCATTCGTTGTTATACCTATGTGATCAGCCGGAATGTTTGGCTGTTGGAAGAGCTCAATTCAGCTTTTTGAACCCGGCGGAGAAAGTACGGATATGTCGGCCCGTACTCATTAGCCAATCGGGTACCGTCAGCACCGTGACTCGTGGCCTCTCTATAATGGACAGCGACGACACACCCAGCTGGCCGTCGCTGTACGACCCCAGTCTCGAATTCTTCAAAATTCCAGACCACGATGCTGAGCAGCCTGGCGCAGTGTACCTCTACCATTATGGCCAAATATTCAGCTTCACGTTATACTGGACTTTTGTTTTCTACACCCCTATCTTTATTGTTTGTGCCGCCGTTGCTTTCCTCAATGTCTTGTTCCCGCCAAGATGTATACACAAAAACGTTCACGAGTCGGACGAGTATCCCTTGGTGCCGCTAAGGCCCACAAGAATGAAAAAATCGAACCCGCAGCGGTCGAGAGTCACTTTGGCGGTCATTGTGCTGCTGGTGTTCTTGGGCATCAGTGTCCTCAGCGTAGTATGTGGGGCAACGGTCGTCTCACTGGTGGTGATGGAGTTGTTTCGGTCGGGCGGTTTTAGTCTGTCTACGTGAGTCCCAATGTCGTCTTTTCGTGTTACAGCGCTGAAGAGATATCCAGCTGGGTGCCCTTTTTCGGTGCACTTATTCTCGTTTTTATCAGTCTTCTCAAGTACGTATTTCATCTGGCTTTCTCAAATCTCTGTTTATTGTCTCGCAGCTCCTGGCCATCTGTAATATATATTATCTAAGTTGCGAGGCCCTTGACGTATCGACAAGCAGCTTCTAATGAAGTCTAGCTATGCTAGAAATGGCAGGCCGGGGGCTTTCTGGTGAAGGGACAGTCCTCGCACTTGGCTTCAGCTGCAGACTAAAGAGCACAGTTTCTTTCACATTCCTTGAGGTACGTCGTCCGTAGCTCGTGCGACTCAGTATCCAGCTTACAGACATGTAATCACAAAGGTATCCCAAGATAAGTTTTCTTGGCAGAGGTATCTGGACTCATTTCGGATCGACCCTGTAGGTCCCCGGTACAGTTTGTTAAAGCTGCGTGCCCGATCGTCTGTGGGTGGACAATGGATATGCTTCCTTTTCACCTCCAGAGATGGTAGTTTGGTTCGAGGAATGGCGTATCGTAAGGACCAAGCTTGTACTCTCGCACTACACCCTTTCTCAATGCAACTTCATTTGCCCGTTCTGCATTCTTAAAACCTTCCCATACCACTATCATACGTGCGCAGCGTGCAGCTACACATAGTTGCCTGCTCTCAAATTCCTCACAATCGCCAATCCAGTCCGTAGAGCTAATAGCGCATGCGGGGTGTTATTGTTCCCATTGGCATCTCATAGCGAACTGATGTGTAATTCCTGCAGCCTTCTAAACACCATCATACTTACCAAACAGTTTCGATGACTGGTAGACGAATTGCACATGTCCTCAACTTCTGGGAAGCTCAGCATTCGATTTGCCTTTCCTCCTTCGCGCTGTCGCGTCCGAGTCGGCCTGACCTCAAGCGGTCAGTAGATTCCATAAGCTGAGCCAGGCAGCTGATTCCTGATGCGAATTCATTACAATTTCCAACAGCGGATTTGTTTTTGCTCTGCGGTATCAGACTACTAGAAGTTGTAGTTAACTATTCTTCAGCAGCTCTCAAAATAATTTGTTTGAAGCTATCTGTGACAGTAGATCATAGTCTTTTTCTAAATACCGAATAAATACTTGATGTGAACAAATTGCAAGGGCGCCCTTTGGTGAGGCGGGCAAGACGGTCACGAGAGAGCTTGCTCATGATATACGGATTGATATCGTCGTTGGCAGCTCGGATATCCGACTGGTATCTGATAATCTAATCGTGGTGATGTCTCTCGACGTCGCAAGGAGATGGATGTTATTGTTGAGCTTCCTCACTATATCGATAAGCTCTTCTCGCCCTCCATTATTGTCACTGAATTCATCCAGAGCGTCAAGAACAATGTAGACACATGGTGTGGATGGTTTATCACGCCCGCTTGGCGCGCTCGGGGGGTTGCTGGGTTCGGGTCCCGGTGTGTCCGGTGGGTGTGCTACGGTAGTGTTTTTGACCAACAGAACACTGAAATTAACAACAAGAAACGGAGAACGAAGCTGTCGCGCCGGCGGGCGCCCGACGCAGCATGAATCATGATATTGACCCCTTAGGTGCTTCCATTGTGCTTTGCATCCATAGTTACAGTACCAAAACTTACCCCCTAGTTTATTTTCATCACTTCATACCGTAGCGACCGCCATGCATGTCAGCGGGTGATGCAGGGACGGAGGAGCGCGAGGCGCTCCTCGTAGTCCGATCCCGATCATCTGATAACGATCGGTGTGGCTGTACTACGAAACGCTTGTACGATCTCCAGCCTCCAATCTAAACTCTTATCGACGACCCTTGTTAGATCCTTCGTATACAAATTACACGAGGGCCACACAATACTTTGGCGGTTCATATCATAAATCGTGCTGCAGAAAATCAGTCGATAGCTCGAAGTCGGACTACACGCATCAGTGTTTGTGGGCACAGTTGTTCCCTAAAAATCAAAACATTGTTTTATTCTGATGGAAGCCGGCGAGGTAGAATGGCCGGTCGTCCAAAATAATCGTGAAAGGTTTGAACATAGTATTGTACGAGTCCCTGCTCCCATTCGACCGAAACTCTCGATTCCTTCTTCAGCGCCTCTGGTCGAATCGCCGTCACTTCGCGCCGCGGAGGATCCTCCCATCCTTCCTTGAGCTTCCTCAAGTACTTCAACTTTCAAATCTTCGGCTCCAATGCGTGGACGAGATCCCGTAGTTCGCTCGAGCGGATTGTGGTGACGGGAAGGCATCCGAAAAGTACCACCTGGCTTTTGTCTGTCGTTCTATTCTGAACGTGCTGTCTGCTTGGAAGTATTCATCTCCGGTCGCCTGTGATCTGAGCTACCTCACAACGGCTCTAACGTAGAGAGATAGAAGCTCGAAACGGAAATTTATCTCCCATATCTCCCATACAAGCTCCACTGCCTCTTTCTTCTCAATCGGAAGGTTAAAATCGGAAACATTGAGATGATAACTCACGCCGTCGTCATCAGGGGACGGTCCCAAGAATGCCTCGGCTTGCTTCTGAATCTCAGGTTCGGTCGACGTTTTCGAGGGAATACCGAGAAGATCGCGCCACTCTTCAGAAGAAAGTGGACGAGCATCCGGCTTATTGCAGCTCGCCCGGTACTTCCAAAAAGTACTGAGTTGCTTCCACATATGAAGATATGACACACGCTCGCGATTAGAAACGTCAAGAAAAAGATGCGGATCCAGGAAGAAATAACTGGCGTCTGAAGGAAGATGTTTGGACTGCTGAGATTTGGCTGAGAATCGGTTAACTTTTACTGCATTTGCATGAAACCATGGGTTTATGGCAGAGGGAGCGTAGTCTCCAGTCAGCTCCAAGAATTTATCCAGGTGCTGGGACGAATCTTGGAACCGGTCAGAAAACGGGTAGATAAATGAGGGGACGGTCTTGCTTTTTGACGAGCTAAATAATGGATTCTGCTTCACTGAACAAGTGGATCCGGATTTGACTGGTGAAAGCAGTGGCCAGCGTCCAAAAGTTGTGCTAAATGGATCCGCATAGATGAAATGATTGTATGCAAATACTTTCCTGCTGTCGGATGCGGTGTCGGTCGTGATTGGGTTATATGAACCTAGTAACGTCCGCTCTGTTTCAATGGGAAAATAGGTGAGACCGACAGTGTCGAGCACCTCTCTGTCCGGAAGTGTACTCAGCAGTCGTATCAAGTATACCGGTATTCCAGCACGAGAAACTGCTTTGAGGTGTGTTCCGACGTCGTAAAACCACCCATCAAATGGCATAACACCGGTGTAGATGACCCACGGGCTCTACTGCAGACTTTCGAGCCTGGTTTAATTGCGTCACGGAAAAACCGGATGTAATCCAGTACTCCGCATAGTTCTATCCAGAAGCTCTGGATCATGCCAACCGTGAGCAAAAACGTCCCAGGGTCAAGCTTTAACGTCTCCAAGCTATGGATGCCCATGCTCACAAGTAAAGGGCCATCTTTGACAATACGCTGTAGAAGATTTGGGCGTTTCGTCAAGTAGTCCAAGTATTGACTCTGAAGTACGAATTTCCAGGGCTCGACCGGAGGATCCCGTGCCTCCCCAGACCTTTTTACGGCATATTCAACCGCAGCATGGAGTTGCCGACAGAAGTGTTCCGACAGAGTTGCTACCCCGGATAGAGTTCGATCTCCTTCTACAAATACGATGTCCTTGTCGGTAGCGTTTGTCCACATGTACTTATACTTCAGATATGGATGAGCAACATCGTTGTCCATAGGACAAGAAGAATAGTTGCGTAGAACAAATTTTCGGAGTCAATCATCTGGGGAGCCTGGATAGGGTCAACGGCACCAAGTTGAAAGTCAGAGCGGAGCGCAAAGAGGCAATCGTTTGGAGGAGGTGCAAGTATATAGCCAGAGTTAGGTGAGGTGATGAAGCTATCACAGTGGGGGTGAAGAGCACCGCATAGCCTGACTTTTTCCTAGGGGATTATTTCTGTACACGACGGGTTAGATTATTGCAAAGATTTGCCAAACAGAGACACACGGTGGTTAGGGCTTGAGCTCGAATCTTCGCAGATATCTGGAATTCGAATAGACGCCATAAAATCAAACGGAGACTTTGGCGTCCCGACTAGCGAATTACAATGAAACGGCGTTGAATGAATATGTTCAGAAAGTATTTATAAATCCTAGTGATTTCTCTGAAAGCTAATATGCACATTCTATTAGATATAATTCGCGCCATTAAGCCACGGGTAAATAGAGGCATACCTGCGTCTTCCGAATCCAACGGACTGTAACTTTTAAGTAGCTTTGCGACGGGAACCTTGGCAGACCTTAGGCAATTAAAAAAACTCAAGGCTTCGAAGAGACCTAGTGTGACGGTGTCCCACGAGAACGCCAGAGAAGTCTGTCAAAGGCGACCTAAAGTCCGAAAATAAGTAGCGTCGTGGTCTGAGGGACAAATCCAACATGGAAAGTTCAGAGAAGTTCAGTAGCGACACCGCCGGGCCGCGGCATCGCGGCAAGGGTGACGCTCTCAGGAATCAACTGTGCCAAGCAAACATATCACTGCTTTTTCTTCTTAATTTCGTCTTCCCGAAACTACTTATGTCAATTGGACTCTAGGCTCGGTGACCTGCGTGTAAGGTTTCATCGTGAGCAAGTATGCTTCTCCTTCCGACGCGTCATCTGACAAATACAACGAAATCTAGCCACGGATCTCCATTCCATGGCAACTATTCTGAGTCTATTCAACATCATATCGTGTTCTTGAATACCTTTCGCGAATGCGGTACGAATATCAACATCTTTCTCATGCATTCGTGTAATCGGTATCTTACGTGCTCGCAAAAAGGTTAAGACCCGAATTCAGTCCGAAATCTTGAAATGGTGGTGTACAGCCTCAGTCAGGTTTATTTCATAATATGAGGAGGATTTGATTGACCTTGTAAACTCAACCAGAACTGTATGTTTCATATTCTTCTTTATTATCTTCGCCTGAAATGACACCACATTGCAACAGAAATTCGATTCCTCCTGATATCGCGGAGAAGTATGCTCTTATAGTAACCAGGGTACATCCGCTTAAATTTACGGTCAAGTGACTGTCAAACGTGCTTCGGAGCAAGCTATTCGTTTCGCTGGGTTGATAGTCATCGCTCTCGAAAGTCCAGAGATCTTCGAGTCGTAAGAAGTGCGCGCATTTTTCTTTGTCTCGTGATCAAGCATTTATTCTGCCGTTCGACAGAACTGAGAACATCCTCGTGGCTCCTTATGATACCCAGAGAGTATGACCCTGACGTTTCACAAGAAATGTTTCTTTTACATGGACGTACCCCGCACTAGAAAGCCCCGGTATATTCAAACCGATGAGTGCGGCTTTCAAATTCGGGTGGCGTCGATGGCGCAAATCCACAAATTCTAGGTTGGCGTGCACTGCCTATGGATCTCGCAGTCCTGTATCGACCGCTGTCTTGCCGTTTCATGCTCACATGCTCGCGTAATAGAATGGCTTGAACTCTCCGGTGCCAAGACATACAGCTTGACATTATATAAACGACGTGCAATCGTCGATACCGTCAGCTCGCTTTTACATCATGAAGTTCACAACTCTCTTCTCACTCATCCCTGCCCTCGCCGGCACCTTTGTCGCTGCTGGGACGTTCAACTCTCCAACCTCTGGCCAGACGATCTCTGCGAACGAAGTGAGCCTTTGATTTTCTTCCCCTCGTAGCATACTCATAGCTGTGAAATCTATATAGCCATTTAACTTGACATGGACATCCGGTCGCTACTTTAAAGAGAACTCGATTTCCATCACCGTGCTCCTGACCGAAGGAGAATACGCCTCCAAGCTCTACGGGACCACACTGGTGAAGGATCTACAACCCATGACGCACTACCACTCCGACCTCACGCCGTCCTTCCTCTACGGGTCAGAGAGGTCTGGCAACTTCCAAATCGTAGTTCTCGAAACGTATACTTCCTACGGCGTGAGTCCTTAGTTATCAGTTTGTACTATTATTATGCTGATCTCGCTGCGTTCAGGGCATTCCTGCAACGAATGCGGAGACGCTGGATGTTGTTATTGTCTAGTCTGTTTTTTTGAGTGGCTTCGCTTGGATGGACAATACGTTTTCTTCATTTATGTGTTTAAGTACAAACCTATGTATGGCAACGGCATCTATGGTCGCTTGAATTTATGCCGTCCTTCGCGCATCACCGGATACACAGAGTCTATGAAATAGATAAGGTCAAACCATCCATGGGCGTACATCGACCCAAACCAATGCCAATGGGCCACCACTGCACACAGCACGCGGATGGTGACGATGCGACCAAGGATTCGGAGCCGTCCGTATGCACGAGGACACCTGCTCTCAACGAAAGACGAGCCAACTCATATCCTAGGTGCGACATATTGTCTTAACAGAACTAGCGTCCAGAGGAAAAGGGTAACAACAGAGCTG